TCTTAATCCTTATTCTTAAAAAGAAATTTAACATTTTAATATATCAAGTTATAAATAATTTCTTCATCTTTATCGATTATTTCTCGAACTACCTGTATAAATTTGAATTTTTCTCAGATTTCAAAATAAATTTTAATATATTTGATATATATTACTTGAAATAAAAACATAATAAAAGTGTTTTATTAGAATATAAAAATTTCAAAAGAGAAAATCAATACTCAAAATAATGAAAAAACAAAATTTTCAAGAGCATTTCGACCAGAAGACATCTTGCAAACTGTCAAAGTCGGACAAATCAAAATTGAATTTTCGTAAGGAAGTGCTTTTGACAGGCAATAACAAACATCTGTCAAACACAATTCTATATAATCCGTATAGTATGGCTCACCAGTGGCCGAGCGTGTAAAACCACTGAACCAGCTTGTTGTAGGGTGAAATCCGCAACAAGCTGGCCACGTGGAGTTTTCCGTGTTTTATCACATGCCTAATATTTAAATTAAGACCAGTTTACCATTGAAAGTCTTGATTTTTCTTAATTAAAGTTAAGAAAGAATTATCAAGTATAAACATTTTCTTATCCTCTGAAAATGGAGCGCAGGAGTGAACACGGAGTTTGTTGTTAAAATGAATAAATCCGCGACCGTGTCTTAGGATGAAGAGTGTATGTTTCGTGCACGCGCTTTTAAACGATACAAACGATTTTCGGAAGGCATAAAGAGTGAAAGATGATCGATATCCAGGGTATTTTAATGGTGGTGTTGGTTTCCTGTTGTCAGACAGTAAATCAGGAGTATTTCCATGAAGTATCGAAGAGATTGAGCGTACGCGTGAGAAGGAAACGATCAGAATTGCGGAGAAACGGTTGGATTTTTCGCTCCAGCCCACAACGCTTTGTCTGTGAAGCAGTCTTTAACTAATCGCAACATCACTGTGCTTGAGAACCAACCCTCTTGTCCCTGAGATTTCTATTTCTCATCAAAGATCAAGTGAATGCTCGAAGGAACCCATTTTTTTTCTTAGTAGAAAATGCGAAACAATCAGGGGATCTTCAACAGCCTTCCAGAAAATGATTTGCAGAATTGTTTTCAACGTTGGCTGCACGGTTTGCAGCTTTGTGCCAACTTAAAAGGGTATATTATTTTGAAGGAGATCGTAGTTGATTTTCTTAATTTGTTAAGTAACAAGAGATACGGGCACAATCTCGTGTTTGATTCTTACAAGAAGTACTTTTGATAGGGGCTATGACACCGCATGAACTTTCCTTACTTTCGAAAGAGAAAGTAATTTGATAAAGTAATAAAGGAGAATTAACTGCTCGATGGGGTAGACTAAGAAGCTAATTTGTTGATAAAACTGTTTGCTAAAGTAAGGAAAAGAAACCACTAAATGACAGGGTAAAATAATGAAACCAAAAGTTAATACAGTCAAGTCTGAAGCATCTTCCTTAATTGTTTAGAATCAGAATTATTGTTTTAATTGGTGCTAAATACTGTAATTAAGAAAGATGATGAGGATTAAAGTGTCTTTGGATTAATTATGAGACGACGAAGAGTTAAATAATACACATAAGATGATGATAAATGTTAAAAGAGATATTTACATTTATCATCATAATCATCATCACCACAACCATTTGCTAATTAACTAAAACACTTGAAAAGATGTTTAAAAATAATTTTAGAAGAAAGAGAAATTTTATAAACATAAATAAAAAGAATTAAATGTTTTTTTTTTCCTCTTGTTTTTAAAGAGAAAATTCCTTCCATTAATCCATTAAAAATTCAACAAACCAAAGAGGTTTTGATTGTAAAGTAAAGTTATTTTAATGGAAAAATCCAATTAAAGTTAATAATTCTGACATAAAAATTATTTTTAAAAAATGAAATTATGCACCATAAACATATAGAATTCATTAATAATTAAAAGAAAAAAAAATTATAATTTAGTTACAATCCTTGAAAAGATTGTTATTAAAGGATGTTAGAGAAGATAAACAAGACAATTTGTTGCTATAGTAGCATAGGTTCTGCTATAGTAACACTCGACATCCTACTACATCCCACCGCATCCTCTACGAATTTAGTAACGACAAAACTAATTAAAAATAAAATAAATAAATAAATAAAAAGCCATATGATAAACATTTAGGGGCATAATCAGCCCCTAAGCTTTGTATATATCTGTTCTCGATTTTCATCTATATAACTCCGTTCTCTAGTTTAACGAAGGACAGACAGATAGACGACAGTGGGCATGTATACGCCTGCAATTTGAAAATTGCAGCCAATTAAAAAGAAATAATAAAATTTAATTAAATAAAACGACGATATCTTTACTACTACAACAATAAACATTTACAATTTATGTAAATTATATTGTTATTGTAGCACAAACAAGTAATTCAAGGGCTGTTAATGTGTTAACAATAGCATCAATCACACTTAAAAAGTTTACACTTATTAGTTGCTCTGTAGAAGATAAACAAGTTAATTTGTTGCTATAGTAGCACAATTCTGATACGAGTGTAGTAACACTCGACATCTGTACGAATTTAGTACGTATTTTGACTGATAAAAAATATAATAAACCCCCAAAAATACATATTTAATTAAAGAATTATAGTAATTATGCCACTCCAGCAACAATAATTTGTAATTTATACTGTCATTATTGTTGTTCTATTGCGTTAACTAATGCTATTAATTGTTACAAAGTTGTTACACAAATATTACAGTAATTGAATAATATAACTTACTATTACAGTAACGAGTACTTTAAATTGACTAAAGTATGCATTGATAAAGTAGTATTACAATAAAAATTTACTGTAATGAAGCAATTGATCTGTCTATCATTATTGGTTTACAAATACAGTGGTGGAAACTGCAGGGTGGCCATAATTAAACTTTAATTATTCAGACCCCCCTGTAGCTGCAACAAATAAGCGGATCGTCACCGAAATTTGCGTACAGACTACGCAAAGGGTACGAAACAAAACACAATAGATAACGAAGACCAACATTAAAGTGGCATCTTAATTTTTTATTTAAAGCATTACGAATAAAGTCAGCTGTTTATCTTCTGTTCATTGCCTCCGAATTTTTACACCTTAAAAATAGGGCACACATTAAACAACGTACCTTATATCAGTAAGGGGCATGCCTCTGTATTAAGGGTGGAACGAATAAATGCATTTTTATTGTATTTTTACTATTGTTTTGTGTATTTTCCTGTAATGCATCTCCTAGCGGAAGTTTTTTGAATTAATTTTTTTTTTGTAAAATCCTTTTTCCCACCCTTTGGGTAGTCTGTATGCAAATTTTGGTAGCAATCCGCTTATGGGTATGCAAATACAGCGTGGTCTGAGTAGAGAAATTATAATTACGCACATCCTGTACTGTACATTTGCAGTATATGACATTTACTAGAATTTTTTTTTGTTATTGTAATAGTAGTTACTGTAGTCTGTTACTCTTGAAAATTGTCTTAGTAAACAATAGCGTAACTAATCTAATCTACTACTACAATAATAAAAGTTAATGCATTTCTTGTTACTATAGTAGTATTTTATTACTGTAATACTATACAAGTCGACCTCCCTATAACACTGTTGATAATTCCGTTTTATAAGAATTCCATGTTGTACGAGTCACTTAGATTTTACAAATATGTGTGCCGGGCTGTGAACGGCTCACGTATTTGTAAAATCTAAGTGACTCGTACAACATGGAATTCTTATAAAACGGAATTATCAACAGTGTTATAGGGAGGTCGACTTGTATAGTATTACAGTAATAAAATACTACTATAGTAACAAGAAATGCATTAACTTTTATTATTGTAGTAGTAGATTAGATTAGTTACGCTATTGTTTACTAAGACAATTTTCAAGAGTAACAGACTACAGTAACTACTATTACAATAACAAAAAAAAATTCTAGTAAATGTCATATACTGCAAATGTACAGTACAGGATGTGCGTAATTATAATTTCTCTACTCAGACCACGCTGTATTTGCATACCCATAAGCGGATTGCTACCAAAATTTGCATACAGACTACCCAAAGGGTGGGAAAAAGGATTTTACAAAAAAAAAATTAATTCAAAAAACTTCCGCTAGGAGATGCATTACAGGAAAATACACAAAACAATAGTAAAAATACAATAAAAATGCATTTATTCGTTCCACCCTTAATACAGAGGCATGCCCCTTACTGATATAAGGTACGTTGTTTAATGTGTGCCCTATTTTTAAGGTGTAAAAATTCGGAGGCAATGAACAGAAGATAAACAGCTGACTTTATTCGTAATGCTTTAAATAAAAAATTAAGATGCCACTTTAATGTTGGTCTTCGTTATCTATTGTGTTTTGTTTCGTACCCTTTGCGTAGTCTGTACGCAAATTTCGGTGACGATCCGCTTATTTGTTGCAGCTACAGGGGGGTCTGAATAATTAAAGTTTAATTATGGCCACCCTGCAGTTTCCNCCAATATGCATTTTAGACTGCTCTATTTGATTATCAGTCCCTCTTCAGATGTGAATTATTATTATTAACAATATTTCTATATTATCTACTTAAATAATAATATAAAATATACAGTTCTTAAAAAATTAATTATAAAATATTGAAATATTTTTTTCTACTTTATTACATTTTCTTTCTTGTGACAATTCTTTCTTTTTTTTATTCATTCTGTTTCCAAAAAGTTTTTAATTGATTTTATTTTAATATAATAACTCATTATTCAAAACAAACTCTCATTCATTTTAACAATTAACATTTTTTTCATGAGAACATACAATCCTAATCTTAATTCATTAGAAATCCATTAATACTTTCTCTTCTTAACTATCATAATCTGGACAACTAATATGATTCAAATATTTACAAATGTTTTTTGCAATACTGTGCCTGAACAGTCATTTATTCTTTTTCTTTAATTTAATTAGTTCCAAATATTCATATTTCCTTTTTATTGTTTTTTTCCCTTTTAATTATTTTTCTATATGAATTCCTTTTATTATTTCACAATCATTTAAGTTTTAGTGTTTTACAACTGCTGAATTATGATGATTGTATTTAATTATGGTTATATCCCATGTGTTCATTTACAAGTTTTTAATTTTCTGTTTGTTTACCTATATACAAGTATGTCACTGGAATTATACAATTACAGTTAAATTTATATACTAAATTATTCTGTTCTAAAATTAAATTTTATTATATTTGAGTGTGTTGTCAGAAATGTATCAAGCAATAAATTAGTTGAGTATGATATGGATTATTTTTCTATTGTATTTTAGTGCTTAAAATGCATGTGATTGAATGAATAATGAAAAAGTTGTACAAAAGCTTCACTTCTATAAACTTTTTATGTTACAGATGCTTCCAGTGCTGAAAGCCGCTGGAAAACGCAGCGCGATCGGTACACAAGGGAGAATAAAAAAGTGGAAGACAGCAAAAGAAGTGGAAGTGGTAGGGATGACATATATGTATCACATTGGTACTTATATAATGTCATCGATGGGTTTATGAGGCGCTGTCCTCAAACAAATGAAGAGTAAGTATTTTAGGTTAAAAAAGAATACATTTTATGGATGAAGCAAGAATTTTTATATTCAATTTTGTATAAATACAGAACCATCAACAACATATCACCAGCTTTACCAGCAGAAGACCAACCAGAAGATGTTCAGCCTCTTTATGCTGAGGCAGTAGAGTTTTCCTGTCCCAGTGACAGTGAAGTATTTCTTCCTGGGTAAGCACTCCAATAGTTATTCACTGATTGCCTTTTGCCTTTTTACCTACTCTTGCTTTTTACCTGTTATAGGCCTGCATCAGCATCATCAGCATCATCATCATCAGCATCATCACAATTACCAGTGGAAACTTCAGAGAGCAGGTACTGTACATACATTCAGTCTGTACTACTCTAAAGCTTTTTGTTTGTATGTTATTTGTGATATATACTTTGTACTTTACAGCATTTCACATTTAAAACATGGCAGAAAAAGTGATCCACAAATGGAAGAATTATTGGCAGTATTTAGAATGTCTGCTGAAGCCATGCAGCAAGCAAATGCTGCAATACAAAAAAACAAATCGCATATAAAACCGTTCTGCGAGTTTGTTGAAAGCATGCTGGCCAAAATGAGCAGCAAAAATCAAAGAACGGCAATGAAAAAAATTCAGGACATTCTTTTCGAGATCGATGCCGTGAATGATGAAGAGAATCAGTAAATTACATAATGAATTCAATAGATCAATGTAATTTATTTAATTAATTTTGCTATATTAATAAATTTTTTTTGAAAACCTATATTTGTTACAATGTCTTTAAAACACAAGAGTAATAAAAATAATTCTTTATTGAACCTTAGTAATAAAAATATGATAGTCTATTGCCTATGGCAAGATCCAGTGGTACATAGATAGTCTGCTAATTTATTCCTCAATTCTCTTGCTTCAGTAGAGTACATGTTGCTTGCTACCTGTGTGCAACTTCTCATTTGATCATCTGTTGCTCTCCACCTCCCTGGGATAAGGTTGCCATGTTCATCTTCAGAATCACAATCTCCAGCATTAATGTAACAAGCTGACTCTCTTATAAGAAAATTGTGTAATATGCAAGCTGCCAATACCATCTTTGTCGTGTTACCTTCACTGTAGGTTAATGGTCGTTTGAAGATTCGAAAACGAGAACTTAAAATGCCAAAAGCATTTTCCACTACTCGACGAGCACGACACAGTCTATAGTTATAGACTCGTTGTGATCGGCTAATAGCTGAGCGTCTGGGATATGGTCGCATCAAATTTCTTTTTAGTGGAAAAGCTTCATCACCAATGAAATAAAAAGGAAACATAATTTCAGAATTTGGCAAGTAATCATCATTAGGCAAGTTTAATCTGCAGGTTTCCATCATTTGGCCAAACTGAACTTTTCTAAATATTCCTCCATCACTCTCGCTTCCATAGTGTCCATAGTCTATATACAAAAATTTATAATTGGCATCTGCCACTGCTAGCAACACATTACTAAATGTTCCTTTGTAATTAAAGTTTAAACTTCCACTATTTTTTGGACAAACCATCAACACATGTTTTCCATCAATGCTTCCGCAGCAATGTGGCAATTGCCAAGCTTTTAAAAAATTTTCTGCAATACCTTTCCATTCATTTGGTGTTGAGGGAAATTGCATGCAGTCTGATTTTAAGTGAGTCCAAAGAGCATGGCAAGTTTCTGGAACAATTTTTGCTATTGTTTGTCTGCCAACTCTAAAGGCAAATGACAAACTTCTGNGCAAGCCCATTATAGGTTCAGCTGGGCCCACAATGATCAGGAATAGGCCCCGAATTATCCGGGCGGACCAACCCCGAAAAATTCGTAATATTTTTGAACTTATATTGGAGACAATCAGGCCTCCAAAAAGGAGATTAATGTCAGCAGCGCAACCTCTTATTGTCTATTTTAAGGTAACATTGTTACCTTGTGTTTGGCACAGTTTGATCAGGTTTACCTTTTCTCAATAAAAGGCCAAACGAAATCATGAAGTAAAGGGAAAGGATGTGGACTGTGTAGTAAGAGCGCATCTTTGACCAAATTACGTTTAATTTCTCATAACAGTATATGCAGATACAATCTATACACATGAGTTATCAAATTTCTACTTTGGAATTAATATTTGATACTATTACAACAATAAAGACAATTCTTGATTATTTATTTAATGTTCTGCTATTACAGATTCAATTTCGATCATCTTAATAATACATTTACCATAATACAAGATAAAACTTAATTAAATAAATCGAGTTTATTATTACATTTGGCATCGTTAAAACTAATTAATGATTAACTAATGCTACTCTAGCAACAAATATCGGATTTTCTAAATCATGTTGTATGCCATTAAAGGTATAATAATTATATTTAAAACTGCTCAAGTCTAATTCATACGTTTCGAGGTTTTTTTCTATTATCTAAATGATACTATTGTAGTAACAAAATATCATTTATTGCAAAGAAGCAATAAAAGAGACGTAAATTTCTTTAATGAAGTGCATCATTTCTTTCCTACTGTAGTAATATATACACTTGTTATAAAATATTTTTTATCTAATATTATAGTATCTTATTGTAAGTATTATTTTTCTGCTGTTTTAGTAGTACTTTAAGCTCTCTGCTGTTTTAGTAGTACTTTAAGCTCTCTGCTGTTGTAGTACGCATAGTATTTTACCTCTCTGTTTCTTAATATTACGTTAAGTCTCTGCTTCTGTAATAATATCTTAGCTCTGTTGCTATATTAATAGCTTAGTTCTCTGTTGGTGTATTAATATCTTAGTTCTCTGTTGCTTTATTAGTATCTTAGTTCTCTGTTGCTGTATTAATATCTTAGTTCTCTGTTGCTGTATTAGTATATTAGTTCTCTGTTGCTTTATTAGTATCTTAGTTCTCTGTTGCTTTATTAGTATCTTAGTTCTCTGTTGTTGTATTAGTATCTTAGTTCTCTGTTGCTGTATTAGTATATTAGTTCTCTGTTGCTTTATTAGTATCTTAGTTCTCTGTTGCTGTATTAGTATCTTAGTTCTCTGTTGCTGTATTAGTATCTTAGTTCTCTGTTGCTGTATTAGTATCTTAGTTCTCTGTTGCTGTATTAGTATCTTAGTTCTCTGTTGCTGTATTAGTATCTTAGTTCTCTGTTGCTGTATTAGTATCTTAGTTCTCTGTTGCTGTATTAGTATCTTAGTTCTCTGTTGCTGTATTAGTATCTTAGTTCTCTGTTGCTGTATTAGTATCTTAGTTCTCTGTTGCTGTATTAGTATCTTAGTTCTCTGTTGCTGTATTAGTATCTTAGTTCTCTGTTGCTGTATTAGTATCTTAGTTCTCTGTTGCTGTATTAGTATCTTAGTTCCCTGTTGGTGTATTAGTATCTTATGGTTACTATAACAGCATCTTACAACAATATTGTAGTGGCAGAGGCGTATCGAGTGAGGAGTAGATGAGGCATACAACTCCTTCAACCAAATACTTAAAATAAATAAATAAAATAAAACAAAAATACTTTAGTATATGGCAAGATACTATAATAGTACTTTACAATTTAAAACCAATGCTATTACATTATTATTATCATCTTGCAGTTATAAACAGTGTCAGTGTACTAGAAGTGCCTTAAAGTTTGAAACAATGCAATTTTCTTAGTGAAATAATTTTAGGGAAAGAGAGCGGAAAAAGATATTTTCAAATCATGTTTTATATCAGATACGTTTAGGAGATGAAGTAAGAATTTCTTTTGTTTTATTTTTATCGTTAGAATTGGATTGCTTCGTACAGACGTGCATTAATAAGACGTCAGCGTTTTTTTATAACACAATCTTCTCTTTGTGATGATAACAAGACTTTCTCTAACTTGATGTTTTATTTTATTGCTGCTTCGTTATGAAATCTTTCGTTGTACGTAACGAGAGAACAGTCGTAACAATCGTAATCACGTAAACAATGTTACAGTTAATTTAAAAAAATTTTTTTTCTAAACAATTCTTTATAATTGTTATAATAGAAGTTGAAAAAAATCCAGCAACGAGTTGCTTAACTTTCCCGGCAACAGTTTGTGGCGTCATCTGTCATGATATTTTATTTAAAAATTGTTTATATATTTTTAACTATTATGGCAAAAAAATTAATTTTAAGGATAGGGATGGGTTCTATAAAAATTGTAAATACTAATAACGAGTAAAATCTTTATTATGTCTGACCCCTCTTGAGATATGACACATGATCCCCCTCTATCTTTCCATCCCCTTGACCTTTAACCTTTAAAATTTAACAGCATCAATGCCCTGAATACTCAAACTTCCCTGCAAAATTTCAGAAATTTTCGACAAGAACACAGGACTTATTAAGCTTCAAACAGGGTGAACAAAATTGTGCCCCCCACACAAACATACATATAGAAAGAACATCCGAATTTATTGCATTTCTCGATGTTACAAGATCCACCGAGTCCAAAAATGTAAAAATCTTGGTGTCATTTTATCATACAATCGTTATACTTTCCCTCTGTTATATAAAACAGACGGGAAAGTAAAATAACAATTTTTTAATGTATATTTTTTGTCTTAAATTATTGCTAATTGGGATTTTTTAAAACTGTCTCCAACACGTGGGCACTAAGAGGGCCTTTTTAGCAAGCCCATTATGGGTTCAGCTGGGCCCACAATGATCAGGAATAGGCCCCGAATTATCCGGGCGGACCAACCCCGAAAAATTCGTAATATTTTTGAACTTATATTGGAGACAATCAGGCCTCCAAAAAGGAGATTAATGTCAGCAGCGCAACCTCTTATTGTCTATTTTAAGGTAACATTGTTACCTTGTGTTTGGCACAGTTTGATCAGGTTTACCTTTTCTCAATAAAAGGCCAAACGAAATCATGAAGTAAAGGGAAAGGATGTGGACTGTGTAGTAAGAGCGCATCTTTGACCAAATTACATTTAATTTCTCATAACAGTATATGCAGATACAATCTATACACATGAATATGTAAATCAATATTAGTAACGTGTATAAATATACATGCGACACATGCATACAAGATGCAAACTAATTTTTACAAACACAGAAATTTGGACTCGAATCAGGAAACAAATATTTATTAAAGTAAAAAGAGTAATTGAGAAAATAACGAAATGTAATTTATATCTTTCATTTTTCTGTTTTGTAAAGAAAACGAAACTGAAAAATGAAATATAAATTATGAAAGGAAGAAGAAGAAGAAGAGAGTGAATAGAGGAAGAAAAAGTAAAAAGTTAAGAAGAAAAATCATTAAAATGGCAGAGATAAAAGAAGAAAAGTATCAGAAATAATGAAAACGAAGAAGGAAACAAACCGAAAATAAAGAAGGAAATCAGAAAAAGGCGAAAAATAATGAAAAAATAATAATTAGACTAGACGAAAACTCGAAGAAGAAACAAGAAAGGATGGAAATTAAAGAAGGAAATTTTCAGAAAAGGTGAAAATCGAAGAAAAAAAATCCGAAAGTGAAGAAGAAAACTAGGAAAAGATTAAAAATAACGAAGAAAACAATTAGAATAGAATAAAAATCGAAAAATAAACATTCAGAAAGGATGAAAATAGAAGAACGAAACACCATAAAAATAATTGGAAACTGTGAAAATGGAAGAAAAAAAGAGAGACCAGAGAGAGAGGGAGAGAGACAGTGAAAAGTAATGAAGAAAACAATTAGAATATGAAAAAAAAAATAGAATTAAACCATAATAAGTAAAAAGTAAACAATGAAAATGTTTAAAAAAAGTAAAACAGAAAAGCAAGAAGAGATTTAAAAAGAGAGTAAAGACAAATGGATACTTTACAAAGTAAAATACTAGAAAAGACAAGCATTAAATAAATTATTATTATTAAATTATAAAGATGGGAGTTAGAAGATGAAATATTTGGTTTATTAAATAGTTAATGAAAAATATTTTAACTACGAGATAGAAGAATAAATGATATACGTATATTTAAATTAATGTGTAAATTATTAATAAGATTTATATAATAAATTATAAGTAGAGTTTGGTGAATAATTGTTAATAATTTCTTTTATTCTTAACATTTCCTTCTATCCACCCACTCATTGATCCTCAAATAAACAATTTTCTTGATTTTATTTGCTGGTAAACGTGTGGGATTTTTCAAAATTAATAATAGAAATATTAAAATTATAAATATTTACCTGTAAAATTCGTAAACAAGACTCATTTTTATCAATAAATTAAACTGTTTTAGTTAAATTACTCCATAAAACAAATTTTGATAGTTTTAAGGAGCTTTTATTTAAGTTATAACGTAAATTATTATAAATATTTTAGGAATATTGTTTCATAGAACAGTTAAAAAATGAATAATTTTATAGTTTTAAGGCCTGTAAAATTTAAATTAATTAAATATATTAATTTTCTTAAATAAAATCATAATACAATTTAATATATTTATATAATCTCTCACTTATTAATCTTATAATGATAATTTTTATATTTTTTCAATTAAAATAAATTAAAAAATACATTTACTTTTATTATAATTATTAAATTTACATATAATTATTCATTTAAATGACTTTTCTGCACACGTTAACGGTATCTTAAATTCATTTTATCAATTATTATTGAGAAAATTTAATATTTTAATCAGTTTATTAAGATAAAGTAATAAAAATTATGTTTAAGAAACACCCACCTTGATAATTTGATAATTTTAATAAACGTTTAACACACGTTGACACTTCTGA